TATTTCTATATTCTTCTTTCTTTTTTTCTTTTTAACTACCTTATTACTTTTATCTTTGTTATACTGGCTGTAGATTATATTTATTCTCTTGTTGTGTTTACCTCTATTTAGTTTATTTATGGTTGTTTCTTATTTTTCCTAAAAATATGTCTCGAAAAACAGTTTTTTTCTTCAGTTTAGATTCTATATTGACACGTCACTATCTTTTCATTTCATTAAATTAACTCATTCTTTTGAATCTTCTGTTACTATCTAGTTATGGCGTTCTTTTCCTCATTCTTCATTACATAATACATTTATCTATTTGTTTATCCTTCCCTTATATCCTTTCTCTTATTATCCTATGTGTCAAATTAATTATTCTCTTCTCTCATTTCTTACTTCATTATTATACATACTCGACTTCATCTTACTCTCACCGTATATTCTTTTGACTTATTCCTCATCTTATTATATGGAAAAAACTATTGTGTGACGGCATTCTTCTTTTTTATCAAAAAACCTTTCTTGAAGCTAAAAAGAACAAATAACTCATTTCAATGAGACTTGAGTAGAGTAGAGTAGAAAGAAAAAGAAATTATTCATTAAATTTACTTTGTGAAAAAAAGTAATTAATTACTTTAATCTTTATATTATTAAAATTATTATTCTTCTGTATCTTTTTTTCAATGAAACATACTTAGTTTCATTCGTCTTGAAATTCTTTCTTGCTTCTTTTATTCCTTTTTTTTTCTTGTACTTTTGAGATAAAAGGTGACACATCTGAAACACCACATACAGACACTAATACAATTCATGCCTTGACTCTCTCTATTGATGTCTTGATGATAATGCATTTGGATTAGAAATGTATTAGATAACATTACAAATAGTACAACAATTTATTAATGTAGAGTATTACTTATTGTACTATAAGAAATGATATTTATTACTAAAGAAAATTATAAATATACGAATGTATTAACCAGTGGAAAAGGTTCTACTTAAATGTGGTTAAGACTAAAAAGAAAATTAAACATAATAATATAGTGGGAATGAAATGCTTTCTTCTCTCTTTCATAAAATAAAGAAAAAAGGAAAAAGAAATTCATTAAAATTAAAGCAGAAAATAAACAAAAGGTTAAAAAGAAGGAATAAGCAGAAGAAGTTTGAAAAACCTTAATAGGAAAAAATAAAACAAAGAAGTGCTTTTCTCATACTCTTAGAAAAACCCAAAGAATAAATTAAACAAAAAGATTGTTCTTTTAAAAAAAACAGAGAAGAGATGTGATTAGTCTCCTCTAAGCTAGGAAGAATATATGAAAAATCTATTAACACTTAATTAAGTAATTTTTATTTAACTTAGAGATGTTTATTTTAACTTATTGACTTAAAATATATTAAACATATGTTATTTTTTAATTTGTTATTTAGTTATAACAAAATTTATATTGAGAAGGTTAATTTCACAACTCATTCACAAAAAGTTCATTTTTTAGTATTGATAAGTGATAAAAATAAAAGTTTTATCGTAAATATATGAATAACCTTAAAGATTTATTTGGTTTTAACAAATCATTTCAAAGTTTGTACTGGATGTAGTTGGAATAAAGCAATTATTTTAAACCTTTAGTTTAACTTATCAAAAATTCTCGTATAAATGATTTACAAAGTTATTTAGCTAACTTTTATTTTTGTTATAAAAGTGTTGAATTGTTGTTACACAAGATTCATGGAAAATGGCAAGAGCAGTAGTTAAATATGATGGAATTATGTGTGGAATGTCAAGTGGTGCAGCAATTTTAGCAGGATTAAAAGAAGCAGAAAAACCAGAAAATGAAGGAAAAACAATAGTTATTATTGTACCATCATGTGGAGAACGATATTTGTCAACAGACTTATATAAGATTAAAGATGAAGGTACAAAAATACAAATTCTTGATTCATTATTGAATGAATAATTTGAATTGAACTCTTCTTTTTTAAACTTAAAATGTTTTTTTTAAATAAAAAGTCACTTTATATTTTTTTCTCTTCTTCTTTCATTGAATATGTAAATATCTTGTTATGCTTTGTAACATCTTCTTGCATTCATTATCACTACACACTTCTTTCATCGTTCCTATCAATTTTGGTATATTCCCATTATTCATTTCTCCTATAAACTCAGGTGATTTTATTGCACTTTGATTATGTATAATATCATATATTGTATTGGGTATATAATTAATTAATTGTGGCATTTTACTGAAGAATTTATCACTTACTGATATGTATATTAATTGAATTGTAATTTTAACAAATGGAATTACATCATCAATAACATAATTCTGATATATTGTAGAATATACATAAAATGCTGCTGTACGAAGTTCACTTACGGCTCTAATTATTTCATCTTCTTCTTCACTTTGTACTGTATTTACTCCACTCAATATTTCAACAACAGTTGGAACTGCTATCTGACTTTCTTTAGGACATGTTGCTATGATGTCTCCAATAACTTGGATAATCCCTGTTTTATCCCCAAACGTTAAATATGGCTTTTTAAATATTCGGAGAATCAACTCTAAATAATTCCTTGCATATTGTTCAAACTCTTTTTGTATTGTTATACTAATATCACCTACAAGTTCACATAACAATTTGTATATATTTGGTGGTAATTCCGTATTTAACCATTCTACAGTTTTTGGAATTAATGGAAGACAATACGGTGCAAAGCTTGCTTCAAGTGAATAACACAATGATCCTATTAACATCAACGATGGTTCTGGTGTCATTGAAAATGCCTTAATTGCAATGCCAAATAATGAATCACAGATTGGTTTATTTGAAAGTAATGTTGAAATCACTTCATTTCCTGATGTTCCATTCTTTGTTGCACTTACACAACTATCTAAGAATAAGATAGAATAACCTAAAAGATCTGATGAATTAAATAATTGTGTAGACATACAATCACTTAAAATAAATCGAATAATTGTAATTGCCATTTCACCAGAGCAGCAACCTCTTACAACATTTCCTGAAGCAGTTAAATAAGATGTACATTCAGAAATGGATGTATTTCTCATAGACTCATCAAGGAATGTTCTAATAATAGAAGTAACAGCTTCTCCATTTAAAAATAATTTACAATTAACACCAGTTTGAGGATCACAAATTGTTGAGAAGAATGAACTAACAGCTTTCTTTACAATAGGACAATCTTTAAACATAGAGAATACATTTGAAGCATGAATTTTAAGGAAATCATCAAACATCTTTGGATAGTGTTTAATACATTTAATAATACAATAAATCACAGTAGCTCTATTTAATGGAACAGGGTCATTAAATAAATTAACAATTTGATTAACATGTTGACGTAAAAGAGTGATTGGGTCATCATTTGGAACAACCAAACAAGCAAAAGTACTAAGAGCTTGGAACCTAATTTTCCAATCTGGGTTAGTGTATAATGAAAGAATTTGAGGAGACAATGAAACAAGTAATCCAGATCCAACACTTACACTTAAATCATAAAGTGTGTCTTGGGCAATAAATGATAAATCATTCTCATCAATATCATCATTTGGGTCATCAACAAATGAAATTATATGAATGATAAGATTCTTTAATTCATCAATAACACTAATAACTATCTTTAATGGAGGATTATTTGGATAATGATCATTATATCTACGTTCATTAGAAGCAACAGTTCTCCAAAGATGAAGAACAGTTTTTTGTAAATCTTCTATTTCAATACTCATTGGTTGTTTCAAAATATCAGAAGTAACTTCCATAATAGTCTTACCTATTTCTGAGAAATATTCAATGTATAACTCAGTAAAAGTAGAAATTGCTTGGAATCCTTTTGTCTTAATTGCAGGATGATTATGTTTTACTGCAGTAAGAAGAACTTCAAGAATTTTTTTACGTTCTGTTGGGTTAGACATAATTTTTTCAAAAGAAATCATGTTTTCAAAAATAGTTAATGCAGATATACAATGGTCAAAACTTTTAGTTAATGATGAAATACAAAGGTTTTCTACTTGTTCAATAAAAGGGGCAAATGGAATGAATGGAATATCTTCAGTAATAAAACCAATTGTCTTTAATTTAGCAACACTACCATCTGTTAATAAAAATGGCATTAACTCAGGCCATTGTCCTTGAGGCAAATCAAGATTTGCTAAATTAGAAATAATGTTTCCTCCAATAAGAATAATATTATTATCTTGTTCTGAGAGTAAAGAACATACAGTCTTTCTTATTATCATTTTTGTATCATTACTAATTTCGTTCCATATTTTTAAAGATTGTGCTTTATGAGAACCTTTTATTGGGAATAAATTTTTGAATAGAATACCGGCTGATTGTCTGATATTAGTTGGGAGAGTTGCTGTAGATAATATTTGAATTAATGAAACGATGTATTGTGAGAAATCGGTATTTTGAAATGATGTTAATTGTGCTTCAGCTTGTTGTCTGAGTGATGGGTTTTGAGTGGCTGCAATTACTTGAATCAATTGTTCCATAGTGAATAATAGTTAAAAAGTTCAAACTTAATTTAATTTAAATATAATAAAATAAACTAAAGGGTTGTGTTTGCCCTCTAATATTCCACGTCATTTCCTTATCAATTTTTTTCTTCTGTTAAAAACTTTTTCTATCAACTTTGAAAAATCCTCAATTATTTCAAGGGTTGAAAAAATGTTCATTTACCTTTTTATTAAAATGTTGTGATATATAACATTAAAAATAATAAAAACATTATTTATAGATATTGAGAATAATCTCATAAATCAGAAGATTAATATGATGAATGAAATTCCTGTTGCACAACCGATCCCACAACAACTTTTACACATAGAAAATATGAGTGCTAGTTCTTCTGTATTAACTCCTTCTTCTTTTTCATTAAAAATTGATCAATTTGTCCCTAATCAACAAAAGTCTTTTTTACAAGGAGCATGTCCACCTCCAAGTGGTGTTCCAATACCTTTTGACTCTGTTGATTTTGAACACTTTCATGCAGATTTTTCATCGCCAAATTGTCCTGATGAAAACCAGTTAAGTGAAGGAAGTGAAGAAGATACTTTTGATTATAAATTATAACTGTATGATTATTACTGATTATTTTAGGTGTTTTTCTTTAAAATTTCGTTTATAAATTTGTTTCAAGGTTATATTATTTTTCATTTACCTTTATTAATTTAATAATCTTTTTATTAAATACAAGTTTAATCTTAATAAATATTATAATATTTCTTGCCTTTTTTATCTTAACTTTTGTTAATCATTTGTTTATTGGATTTTTCTTAATGTTATGTCTTATAAAAAAATAATGCCATTGTTGTAATACTGAACGTCATATAATATTAAAGAAAATATAGAATAATTATCAGTAACACAAACTTATTAATGTTTATATTATTCATTACTTCTTTAAGGTAAAAACATGTTTCTCTTTTAATAAGGAAATATGATAAAAAAACAAAAACTTAAAAAAAGAATTAAAATTTATTTGAGGTAAAATGAGTTATTTTATCATTAGTATCGAACAACCAGATAAGTCTTATGCTGTTGCACGAATAGAAGAAGGGGTTATTCGTATTACAAAAGACAAAAATTGTATGCCATCAATATTTGAATTAGAACGTGTAGTTGAACCTGACAATGGGTTTAAATTAAAAGGAGATGGGGAGTATTATTATAGATGTAAACACGGACCTTTAATTCCATGTCCACAAGAAGTAGGTGATGTTTTTGAATATTCGTTTGAAAATAAAATACTTAAAATCAAAAGACCTGATGAAGAATATGTTTGTGTATTTAGAGAAGGGGTATTAATGGCAGATCAAGTTCTTCGTGTCAATTGGGATATTACTATTCCTACAATCAAAGTTGGAGGATGTATATTTTATTTTTTTGTTTCTTCAATTGTTGGAAGTAGGTTAGTTACCTCATTATTTTTATCACCAATTAGTGCACAGTCAAATATTTGTATTCGTCAAGGTGGATATGGAAAAGAAATTATTTGTTGTATGGAACATAATGAAACAATAGATAAAAAATTTTATGTTTCTCGCAATGGAAATCATTTAATTGTTTCAATACTCAAAGAAAAAGCAGAGTTATTCTTAATTAAAAATAATGTTCCATATATTTATTATGAAGATAAAACTCTTCCATTAATTGCTGGTGATCAATCTGTAAAAGGATATCAAGTAACATTCCCAACAACATTCATAAATTTTCATCCACTTTAAATTCATTTTTCATTTAACAAAATTTCTCTTTTTAAATAATTGGTTTAATAATAAGCAATTAACTAAGTATAAATAGAACTAGTTTCTATTCTTCCTGCATTAGGGGAGACTAATCCCAATGAGTCTTCATCTTCAAGCAGCTCTATGGAGTGTGTTTGGTTGTGATTGAAGCATTATTCCATAACATCTATAATGTTTTTAATTACAAGGTTTTTAATTTCTTTCTCCATGTCAATTTCAATTTTTAATTCTTTGATTAATTTATTACTTTCTTTATTCATTAATCCATTGATTGAGATTACTACTGGAATTATTTTGACTTCTTTTAACTTTTCTATTTTCATTAGCCTATTCTTTAATTCATTAGTCTTATTTCTTTTCTTCCAATATTCTCCATTAGTATTGTGATAAGCCACAATAGTCATATCAAATAATAGACCAGTTTGATTCTTTTTATCTATTACATATGTCTGGTATTTTGTGATATTGTCCATCACTTTTAAACATTATTTGTTTGTTCCATATCATATTGATGTCTTTATATTTGAATATTGTTTCATATGGTGGTTTTTTATATTGTTTATTTCATGTATATTTTCTTATTAATCAATATTATAATACCAATATTGTCATATTTCTCCATTTGTGATTTTTTATGATAAATACAAGATAGTAGGATGTGTTCTACTGTTGCTATCTTGTCTTTACAAAGTGTTGCGTATTTCAATCTTTCATTTTTCATTATTTTTGATTTTCTATACCCACAAAATATTGCTCCATCTTGCATTTTAGTTAATTGTAGGAATGCATTCTTTTTAATATTGATGGATTTCCATGCTTTCATTGTAGTAGTTTTATCTACTCATTTTGATTCGAACCATCTTCTAAAATATCCATTTATTTGATGACACTTCCATTTTTTTGATGTATTTATCATTAATTTTTTTATTTCTACTACTACTTCTTTTTCTTTTTTCTTTTCTATCCCTTCATTTATTATTTCTTCTATCTTTGTTTCTGGGATTTTATGACCTAGGGCTTTTTTAATTCTATTCCATATTCCTTTCTTACTGTACCATCTATCTAATATATTATTTCCAATTTCACTTTCTCTGGTACAGTAGTACATCACTGTTCTAATTAATTCAATAACATATTCGTCCCTTATATTTATTAATCCTTCACCCATTTCTTCTATAATGACATATAACCTATCTTTGGAGTTTCCGGCACCAATGTATTTTGCCTTTCTTATTTATTTTCTTATCTCCAAATCAATTTTATCTATGTCAGTTATTTTCCAATTTACAGCTGATACTGAATATCTGAAGATATTGATTACTTCAGTGTTTATTCTAGTAATATATCTTCTATTACTACTTTCATCAGTGTTTATTTCTTCCATCTTCTGATTCATTTTTTCTTTGATGGTTTTACAATTGAAGGTGTCATCAATTTCGTCGGACTGCCATATTCCTAAGTATTTATACAAGTCATCATATTCAACTACAAGATGTTTTGCATTCCATTTGGTATTTCTTTAATGTTTTTTAATACCATTCCTGACTTTTTCTCATTCATTTCCATCCCTATTCCACTTATTATTTCTTTAATTTCATTGTGGATTATTCCCATTTCTTCATTACTTTCTGTCATTATTCTCAAATCATCCATAAATAACGTGTGATTTGTTTTTGGGAATTTCTCTTCGATGAATTGAGAAATTACATTCATCTGAATGATGAAGAGTAGATTTGATAATGAATCACCTTGTAAAATTCCTCTATTTAATTTAATACATCATAGATATTCATTAAATTTATAACCGATGAATATCTTCAATCTAGTCATTATACTTTCAATAATGTCAATGATGACTCCATCATAATTAAAATATTTTAATGATTCAATTACCCATTCGTGGTTAACAATGTCATATGTTTTCTTAATGTCATAATATGACTCATCATATTTTGGGTATTTCTCTTCTTTCTGCTTTAACATATAACTATTTATTATTCATTCTTTAGCAGCTAAAGATTGTAATTTACATTCCAATTGGTTTCTACTGATTTTAAATGATTCACAATTCATGTTAAGTCTTCTGTGAATCTTTTCTTTTAATAATGGAGGTAAATACTTTCATAATTACATTTGTACAACTGATATGACGATAATTAGTGACGTCATTCCTATCTCCTCCTTTGTGGATTAATAAAGTTCTTCCACTTACCATGTCTAATGGGATGTTTTCAGGGAAGTTCAACCATTCATTGAAGATACTGAGAATGATTTCTCTTGATGATGACATCCTTTTCAAATAATACCCATATATAGTGTCTATTCCTGGTGCTTTCCAGTTACTTATTTTCATTATACTTATATTTAATTCATTTATTGTTATTATGACATTATCATAATTTCTATATCTTTCATTCCACAAGATGATTTGTTTTATTTTCCATTTTTCTTTATTTAATATCACCTGTGTTTCATATAACGATTTCCAATATTCTAAAGTAATATCGTTATTTTTGTATATTTCATTTTTTGGGTCTTTCTTCCTTATTTTAATTTTCTTGTTAGAATCAAACATGATTTTATTTGTATTGATTCTGACCCTTTCTTCCTTATTAAATTTAATTCTTTCTTTTATCATAGTCATCATATATTTTAGGTATTTTATTCTTTCTAGTGATTTGACTTTTATTCCTTCTTCATCATATTCATTTAATTTCATGATGCACTTTATTCTGTACCATTTTCTTCCCTTGACCAAATCTTCTAGTCTATTAATTTTCTTTAGGATTTCTTTTATTTCATCAAATTTATCTCTTATTATTTTATTTTGGAGATAGAGGTGCATAATCATTGAAATCCTCTTCATATCGTCTTGCAGATCCTGCATTCTGCTTCCTGACCATATCAATCTATTATTAATTTCCATTATTAATTCATCAGTTTCTTTTCTTTGAAAGTAGTAATTAATGTTAGTACATTTTTCTATTTTCATTTCTTTTATTTTATTGATGAGAATGTTAAGGTATTCTTCATCAATTTCTGTAGAGTTATTCTTTAATATGAAGTTTTTTATTATTGAATTACACTCTACTCTTCCTTCCATTATATCATTTACTTTCATTTTAATGTATTGTTTAGTGCTTTCTTTTATTTAATATGATATTTTAATATATTTAATATATTCTTTTTCATTATTGACATTGATATTTGTCACTTTTATTATACTTTCTATTTATTCCCAATCTTTTGTTTTTTTCTTTAATTTCTTCTTTGATTCTTTCATTTATCTTTTTCTTTTTGATTGAATATACTTCTTGAAGAATATCATACTATCTTTTTCTTTTATCTTCTTACTTCTTTAGTATTTCTTCATACTCTCCTTTTCCCATTCACTTGTTATTCTTTTTATTCTTCTTTGTATATCACTTATTGCTAGTCATTTATGTTTGTTAATTGTATAATCTTTATTATTATTGTATTTTCCTTGTTTTTATTTGTTTTTCTTTATATCTTTCGTCTTATAATCCCTTTTCCCTTGGCTATAGTTTACTTTTATTATTATTATTTCTTTTCCATTTATTGTTAGTGACATTCATTATTTTATTGTATGACATTGGATTTCTATATTTTGTGTGTTTTTCTTTACAATACACATTGATATTACAAAATAACCATGGTATTAAAATTTGTTGTATTTCCTTCATTGGAAAAGTATCTTAATAAGATAAACAAAAATTAGATAAATAAAATTCAGTTATTTTACTTTTTCAAATGGTGAAGGTACTGGATATCTTTTTTCTAATTGTTTTATTGCAAAATCTATTTCTTTGTCAACAATACGTTTTCCTTTAGTAAACGCGTCATTAATACAAATACAATAAGGCTCTAAATAATCAATATTCTTAAATAACATCATATTGTTTAATCTTTTTTCTGTTAATTTATCAAAATAAAACCAATCTGCTTCAGGCTGAACTTTTCCTGTTTGGTTATGTAAATGATATAGAAAATGTGCATATGGAACATTCATTGATCTATCATTTCTAACTTTTGAATCTCTTGTAAAATTGTATTGTCGCTCAAATGTATTTTCTAATTTTTGTAATACACTTTTTTGTAGGAAATAACAGTTATGAGATAAGTATGGGTGTGGAGTTGCTTTAGGTTCATTGAAAACATTATTTAATAAAATGTTAGTAAATGCAAGACTTCTATCCCAAACAATTTTTTTCATTCTTTTTCTATTTGGACATTGAAATTTAGGGTGTGTAAATAAACGTAATTCATTCTTATTAAACCACACTGATGGTGGTGCATTTCTCGATAATAACATGTCATCATTTAAATAAACAAAACATTCAGATAAATCTGGTATTCTATGTATAACACTTTCAATTGCATCACTATTAAATGTTGGGATATTTTTTTTATCAAAGACTTGCCTATGAGAAACTATTTCCAATGAATAATTTCCTGAAACAATTTTAAACGACTTTAAATCATTTGGTTGTTGAAGAAAAGAAGGCACTTGGTCACTAGTTAATATATGGTACTTTTTAATATATGGGGCATACATATAAACACTTCTAATAGAATATAATAAAGTCTGGTAATCTCTATAAAAACTAGGTTTAATTTTGTTATTGAACTGTTTGTACTGATATAACCATTGTGGGTCACTTCCATTTACCCATAACCAAACAACATCAATTCTACCATTACAAATTTCAGGTATTTCCCAATTAATAGGGTCAGTAGAATTAATAGGTGGTTTAGTTAACGTTTTATAATGTTTTGAGGCAGAAGGTTTCAACTGAGCAAATTGCCTAAGTAGACTTTCATCTGCATCATTCTTTTTATCATTATTACCACAACACATACTTTCATTTTCTCCAGCGACATTTATTTTTTCAACTGTTTCATTAAACTTATCTAACTCTTTTGAATTATTGGAGTTGTTATTAGGATAAACACTTTCA